TACTGATCGTTATATTGAAAGCTCTTTGCATTTCTTCCATTTGTTTGCGATATCTTTGAGACAATTGTTCCAAATATTGCGAACTCAGAGACAGATTCACTTCCAGCGATTTGATCCGATTGGTCAGTCGTATGACGACCGACTCCTTTGTATTGCCTCCCATTCCTACACCACCCATAAGATATCCGTTTGCGTTGCCATTCAAAGGCTGCCCATTCGCGGGAACCACTTGTTGACCATTAATGGGAGCAGTGATAGGCGTCGTCACGTTAGCGCTGGTATCTTCAGCACTGGCAGCACCTGTAGTCTCAGTATTATTTGTGTTCGTCAGGGGGACGGCAGACAAGTCCTCGCTATTAGCCGACACAGACTTAGACGAGTCGGCGGTCGTGGACTCGTTGGACAGGGGCTGCGGAACAGCCGACTCTTTGTGGTCATCGGTGGAGGCCTGTTGTCCGACACCGCCATCACTGGTCACCACATGAGTGGGCACTATAGAGGTCGACGAGGGCGTCGATCGGGCAAACGTCGACACACTGTCCATCTGAATGGAGGCGCTGTTGAACGCGGGAACCATGGAGTCTATTGAGGATACCGGCGCCGGCGCCCAGTCGTTCGCAATAGGCTTTGTCGGTGCGATCGACTCAAAGTCGCGCGAAACGAGACTCGACTCCACATTAATGGACTCATTGGTGACGGAAATGGTCTCCTTTTTCTGGGCGTTGCACTGGAATAGTGAGCTTATGGTCGGCGGCCACGGGTTCGACACGTTGTTGACAGACATGTACTGATCGATCATTAACTGATACAACGGCAGACCGAACAGTGCCTTCAGATACAGGCAACTCGTCGATTGGTTCCCATTTGTGGCGCAAATCCGCAGATATTTGTCTACTTTTGGATACAAACGAATGGCAAACAATTCCCAGCAATCGGTCGACCTGTTTGTCGGCACAGTATTGGTCTCATTGGGCGTCGATTCCGGCGCTTCCTTCTGATTGCCTACAAAAACAAACAACAAATCAATAATCGAGCGGACAGTTAGCCTCAACCGGACAGCCCTACCATTGAGCGCTTGGGCCGCTTTGCGTACGATATCGTAGACGGCGTCTCTGGCGCTGCCGAACAGGTTCTGCCCCGACGTGTCTTCGCCCACCAGTTCCTCGCCGATGGCCGACTCGTCCTCATCGACGGCAGAGACGGCGCCGGTAGACAACTGATTGGCGTCCAACGTGTCGATCCGTTCCACCTCTTCGAACAGCGATGTGCCGAACACCCGGACCACACTTAGGG